TCTCTCTCTCTCTCTCTCTCTCTCTCTCTCTCTCTCTCTCTCTCTCTCTCTCTCTTACTCTCTCCCTCTCCCTCGATTTATTTAAACTTTTACGGCCAATTTAGAGTCCTCCCACGGTAATTCGTGCCGCTGGTTACGCCCACGTGTTGTTTACGTAACTCCCGGGAATTTTTCATACATATCGCGACGTGTTCTACACGTGTCCTCGCGCGCGGACGTTTTTACATCGAATACATGAATATTGAATATTTAAATAGCGGACGTTTTTACGGAATAAAATTATTAACGCGCCGGAACGCGGAGCTACTTTTTTTTTGTCCGCGAGATTGCTCGAGCTTCGCACTCGTGGACGTTGCGTGAGTAGGGGAGACCGAGTCTAGTTGTCACAATTTTACATACTAATTTAAAAAAAATGATGTGCAATATTTTTTAATATTGTGCACATTTTTATATAGATACAATCTTTAAACAAAATAAAAAAATTATTATTATCCTTATATATATAAGTGTGTGCGTGTGTATATAAAGAAAATTTACCGAGATGTGAACAGAGTCGCGCCAATGTTACTATTTACCAAATACCCAGGATTCATTGTCACATGTCTTCCATATAAAGGAAACAAGGCAAATTTTTTCTGTTTTAAAGTTTCAAGACTGTTTTGTTAAAGTTAGTTATATTTTATAATCAGGTAAATAATCGTTGATCTAAGAGGATAAAATTTTTTAAAAATTTTGTAACAATAATTTTGAGCTCTATAGGAAAACTCACGTAGATTCACTGTTGTGACATGTATAACATAAAGCTTAATCTATAATTCTTTGCTTCCTATTTCTTTCTCTTTATTTCTTTTTTATTCAAACCTTAAATCTTAAGCCAAGAAAAAATAGAGAACAAGAAACAGGAAACAAAGAGCACATTAGACATAGATTAGACTTAATACATCACGGCGTATGCTTCCATGCTCTTGTACAAGGTCATAGGTTCCGTGACTGACTCCATGACAACTAATCCCACTTAATTTGAATCAACTTGATCGAAACAGTCAATTAGAAAAAAAATTATATTTATGGATTATATTGCAGCAACTGTTGATTATATAAATGCAGAAAAAAATTATCTAAACCCATGACATTCTTATAACTAAAAAGAGAGATTGCGACCATAAATTTCAAAACCAATGGATCAATAAAAATAGAGACAAAAAAATTTACTCACCGTGTCCAGTTTTGAAAAAGTGCTTGTAAATATCACACGCGATATTTCTATGCCATAAGCCATTTCGTATACCCAACTAACGCGATACGAGCAATCTATACCGTAGAGAAAATATAATATGTTTCTCCATTTATTACGTGAGATATAAGCTTTGTGACAACTGACCCGTATGACTTCTAAACCCTGTCTCCTCTATTTCGTCGCGGCATCGTTACACCTGGGTGGTCGCGATACGTTTCGCGTATCGTTCGAGTAACCGCGATAACGGCGAACGAGTTATCGATCCGAGTGGCCGGCGTTGAGTTTTTAATAAAGCGTATTCGCAAAGAACAGGCCAGATCAAAGGTCGATACACTCGGACTCGTTGAGTAATTGTTGGAGCGCACACGGGCGCTCGAATAAACATCGGTTGCGCGCCGGATAATAATAACGTCGTGCAAGGACGGAATTTTTTTTTTTAATGTAACGTAAAATCAGCGCGCCGTATTTGTTCGTATATCGCCGCGTAAAAGGAGCGTTAATCTTATTTCCTCTCAGGATTGCGCCGACGTTTTTATTAACTACCACGCGAGACTCGCTTTAACATGGATATCGTGAGGGAGACTTATTAACTCCGGTCTCGTAACAGCCCGGGAAGATAGCCGCGGCGTATACGTTACGCTATAAACTTCTTTCCGCTTACCGACATTACAACAGCCGCGTTCGACGACGACGTTCAGGTAACAATGCCAATATCTGGTGGACACGTATCTGATTCTGAACATTCGTATCGTTCTGGTCTTTAGAGACGAATATTTAAACTTTTAATGTGGGATATATAGTATACAGGGTGAGGCAGTAACTGCATTGCGGTCCACCTGGAATATCTTCGAAGCAAAAGATAAAGCTGATCTTCAGATCTCCGAAGTTTCTCTACTTAGGAAAAAATATCTTATAGTGGTAACATTTTTTTCTAACTAGAGTAATTTCATAGATCTCAAGATTAGATAGATTTAGGTTTTGTTTCAAAGATATTCCAAGTGGCGATAGTTACTGCCTCACTCTGTATGCTCAATATGTATATACAGGGGCGATAACTGTTACAAGCTCGAATATCTTCACTAAAACAAGTATATAGTCTCATTCTTAGCGGAATCCTCTTATCTCTCTATGGCTTTAAGACACTTATCTTGATTCTTCTACAAGCAAGGAAAATATTCTGACACCAAAAAAGAGAACTTTAGTTGCAACGTGCTATTATCTGCCATCCTATATTCTAAGCGAAATTTCTTACCGAAAGGATATTCCTCTTTTAATGAAGTGAACTATCAATTGGATCTTTACTAGGTGTTATTCTAACCTCTTTCCTTTCAAATAAAGACAAATATATCTACTTGAAACAGAATATCTTCTTACTAGAGTAAGAGTAAATTCTTTTGATCATTCCCTGCGTATGAAAGTACTGAGATAAAGATATTGGAACACTTCGAGATATTTTTCATTTCATTCTAATACTTTCCAGCACATGTGATGCGAAATATCTCGTAAAATATTCACTTTCACACTTGTACGTAGAGTGACGAGTGAAATCGATTGAGAAGTTATATATAGAAAAAAAAAAAAAAACACGAAGAAGCCTTCAACAA